CCTTTTAAAGTACTCAGATGTGAGGTTTTTTGGGCAAATTGATAGCAGGAACAGGTTCTATATGTGGAACGTCCAAGAAGTGGAGAATGGGACACTATTCAATATGAAAGTTAAAGAGTTGTTAAGTGGGTTATCTAATGAAGCTTCTGAAGCTAATCAAAAGCTTTATGCTACTGGTGAGGTACAACTCGATACATTCAGAACCCTTTATGGCATTGCTCAATGCACGAGGGACCTCTCTGGGGTTGATTGTAAAAAGTGTCTTGACAGTGCAATAAGTGAACTCCCAAACTGCTGCGATGCAAAACGAGGTGGGCGTGTTGTAGGTGGGAGCTGTAATGTTCGATATGAACTGTATCCCATTGTCAATACTTAAGAGTATAATTATTCTGTACAATGTGATCAACGTCTTGTTATGCTTGCTAATAAATGATGTTCAGATGATATTTGAATGTCTCTCTTGATAAATTTATCCAAGGATATGGATCTGTGTGTACTGATTGTGTTTGTGTTATAAAAGAAAAGTATTATGGTATTGAGTAGTTTTATGAGATTGTATTTATTTTCGAAGTTAGTATTGAGTGGGAATATGCTGATTTATATTTCATCATGAGATCTTTACAAGATTACAAGACATATAAATGAGATTGGAATTGAGTGAGGGAAGGCATGGAATGCGGGACAACACATCTCAATCTTCTCGGCACAATCAGCTGTTCAAGTAAAAAAGGTGGTATTCACAACTCATCACAAGATAAGGTGATGGGGAGTGGTGACCACAACCTAATATCTAGGTTTTCTTGTCTATGTAAAGATGTGGTTGCTTGTACAATTACGATTGATTTATTTACGGTTTTGAATAAGTCTTGAATCTTGTTCCCTTATAAGTGCTTACCTTATGGAGAATAATTAAGTACCTGTTAATGAATATACTTTTAGTACCTGCGTATTGTGTAAATCATTAGTATATTATATTTAGGATACTAGAAGAACTTTTTTCTTTAGGATTGTATTAATTGCAAGGCAAGGAAACCTCCTTGGTTTACTATAAATAAAGGCACAAGGAATGAGAAATAACACACAAAATTCCTCAATCCAATTCTTCATCTCTCTTTCTCTCTATGCCACACCCTCTTTTTGCCTCAGTTAATTATAGGTCACAACACATTATCAGCATGCTCTTGATGCTGCGCTACAGAGAATTTGTTCATCTTCAATCATGAGAGTATTACATTTCAATTATTATTATTTGATTTAATTTTTGTTTTATTGAATTCATATACTTTTATTGATTCAATTTATTTTTCTTGTGTTGAATGTGATACAAGCTTTGAAGATGGAAATTCGAAATCCGGAGGAGTAACTCCTACAAACCAGTTCATCAATACCATCACGTAATCCAGCTTCTTCCAAAATAACGATGTTTATCTTAATATTTTTTCAACCTTGACTGCGTGAACTTCCACCATAATGCATGAACCAACTTTATATTTTACAAATTTTAAATTCTACATAAATTGTGCATACATTATACTCAAAATATTGCCAAATTATGGGAATTAATATTAGGAATTTGAAAAAAAAAAAAAAAAAAAGATTAGGCCAACTGCCTGAACCGCTAGAGCCGAGGCACCAAGATAAATCGAGCCCAAAAAACCTATGAGTGTCACGCTAGTTCCGCCCACTTGCCTACATAGTGAGGAGTATACACATGTTAAGTAATGAGTGTTTTAGTGCTATGTTGTTTGTAGTAAATTAAAATTTGGCATATCTGTTTTTGGTTTGTGGGATAATGATTTTGACTCAATATAAGGGTTGTGGTATTTAAGAATCTGGTTGCTAGCATGATCCATTTCTATGGCTATCTAATTTCTGGCATTGTATTTGATCTTATTATGTATATCATTACTATTTTTGAAGATAAATTAATAAATGGCAGAAGTTCCCAGTTTCATGAGATTGATACTTTTGAGATTGCTTATGCCTTGAAGAACAAAAACTGGACCAATGAGACAGCCAAGTCCAAATTTGTAAGTCTAAAATGGAATTAATGCTTTAGTGTTTTAATGTTGTTTAATAATTAAGCTGTAAGGCTAAGATCACATCCCGAAAATGAACCAACTTCATTAATAACCTTAATCTTCCTTCTATCACCATTCATGAGCTGAAGTAGAGCACAACAGTATCAAGAACGGTCACAAATGTAGGTCCAGTTAATTCTATCTACAATGCTCATGTTATAACGCCTGTAGGTGTGTCTGTGAGAGTTAAGCCATCAATTTTGTCATTCAACTCTGTAAAGTAGCTGGAGTTTAAGGTTACTTTTGGTTCCCTATTAAGAATTCAAGGAAGATTCTCCTTCGGAAATCTGATTTCGGAAGATGGTTTGCATGTATTTAGGATGCCGCTCATAGTTCGAATCGTCCTTGATGATTTTTATGCAGACACAAGATGAACTGCCTTTCATTTTAAAAACCTAATCTGGAGCTAATTGGATTGTAATTATAATTGTATCCTTATGAATAAATGATTCTGTATCACTTTGCTTCATTCAAAATCTGTTGTTTGACTTTTTCACCATCCCTCAAAGTCTGTTGCTTGGCAACCAAGAAAAGAACCTAAACCCCATACGGAAAAAAATTCTTTTGGGTGATTATGGGTTTTAGGTTCTTGGTCATATACTGGAAAAATACTATAATAGCATCTTCCTCCTGGTCCGTTTTATATGCTTAACGTATTATGTAGAGCAATTATTTTAATCAAAGCAGAAGCCATTCAACTGCTAGGACCGGCCTTGCTGCTGTTTATGTACAATGTGCTTTGTTCTTATCCGGTATCAAGTTTCCGAACTGTGTGGCAAGAAAACGCTTGCCAACCATTCGGAGGAGGATGCAGAAGAGATTTTGGAACCCGAAGTTTCTTGTCTAAGTGTGATAGGCATTTTATTGTACTTAGCTCAATGCACTAGACTTGACATCTCATTCACTCTTAATGTTTTGGTAAGATATAGTAATGCACGACATGCATTATGGATCCTTAAGGGTACTATGGATCTAGTGTTAAAGACACTAGTAATGCACGAATGCATAGGTAGGGTACTATAGTAATGCACGAATGCACGACATCTCATTCACTGTCACTGGTGTAAAAGACATCTTCTGTTACCTTAAGGGTACTATAGATCTAGGCCTAATCTATCCTTATGGATCCTCGAGTGATGCCACAACCCCCCTTGGTTCTCAAGTCGATTCCCGCCTTATTGGTTATGCCGATACAGGTTACTTATTTGACCCGCACAAGGCGGCTCTCAAATGGGTTATGTCTTTACCGTTGGAGGCACCGCAATATCTTGGAGGTCAACTAAACAGACCTTAGTTGCCACTTCGTCTAACCATGCTGAAATACTTGCCTTACAAGAAGCTACTTGGGAATGGTTCTGGCTGAGAGTAGTTATGGGCCATATTCAAGGCTCTTGTGATCTTTACCTCGTCGTTGACGTCCCCATGACGATCTATGAAGATAACGCAACATGCATCGAACAACTCAAAAAGTGTTACATCAAAGGAGATAACATCAAGCATATTCGACTGAAGTTCTTCTTCTCACATCAACAGCAAGAGCATCAGAAGATTGAAGTCACGCAAATCCATTCACAAGGCAACCTAGCAGACCTCTTCACCAAATCACTACCGAAGGTGACGTTTCAGCAGCTTGTTTAATGAATAGGTATGCATAAACTTTTAGTTCTCTTTTGAATTATGTTAAACTCAGAGGGAGTATCCTGAAGTATACTTGCTTGATCTTACTGTCATCTTTTTCCCTATGATTAGGAGCAATTTTCCCTTTGGGTTTTTGTTACCTAATGAGGTTTTGATAAGGCACCCACCTTGGGTTGATCATATCCTTGATGACTTCCCGTAGACGTTTCATTTGACTTTGCATTTTCTCACGCACTTTTTCTTGGACTATGGGTTTTGTCCCTACTTGGGTTTTACCATAGCCATTGGGTTTTTTGTGAAACTTAGTTTATGTAGGTTCCTTCTTTTGTTTGAGACTAGCATGTTCCCAGAACCAGTGTCGACGAGTCGACTTTCTCAACTCTACATGATGCCGAATCTACTTGAGTATATACACTCAAGGGGGAGTGTTATAAGCATTGTGTTAAAGTGTGATTGTGTAAATCCTATATTAGATTTGATACTAGTTATTCTTCCCTATTAGGACATGTATTTCATAGAGGAGAAAGATTCTTCCCTCCCTTTTACTATAAATAAAGGCACTCCGTAGAGGGAATAAAGCATCCTCTATACAACCCTACAAACACATATCTCACTCTAATTCTCTCTACTGGCACGCCTCTCTCTCTTCCTTGTCAGATAAAATAAGCCACAACAGAAACCATTTAATAGCAATATTTAGGGATAATATAGGAAGACAAAACATAGTAAAGTTACATTGAAGAAACTAAATATGATGTGGATTATAAATGATTTTGACAGGAGTCAAATGACTAAAATTAGTTTTTAATCTTACTCATTGTATTTATCTAAAAGTAATTATTTTTAAGGACTAAATCTAGTTTTCCATTTACTGAATATGATTTAACAAGTAGACAGGTCAAAGTAAACAAAAAGTAAAAATAGTATTAAAATCAACTTTGTCTAGAATCATATATATAGCCATATATTTTCCTTTTCTGTAGCGTGCAACGCGACCTAGTCCTCAACTGAAATATATGACGTCCAATGATCACCTAGTAGAATGCATAAAAATGTGATATTTTAGACATTAATTTAGTTTTTCTTTCCTTGGTGCTACCTTGAATGCGTCTTTCAATCATTTGTGGGAACTTTCTCTTAAGAACGAGTCCCATAAGTACGTGATTAATTTCAAGGCTTATTATATTGTGCCGGTAAGACTTTCAACTCTCGCGGTATAATTTAGAAACTTTCTATATATACGTATATGGAGTGCGTTCTTGGATAGAACAATTAAAACCCAGCAATTGAGTCTCATAATCCAACATGTTCATCTCCAAATCAATCCCTCTGGGTCTCTTAGTCCTATGTCTCTACCACAATTCAGCCATTGGTGCTTCCCCACTTTCCCATTCTTGTTTCAGCGCTGAAAACTACACTGCCAATAGTCCCTATGGTGCTAACTTAAACTTACTCTTCAATCTTTTATACACCAAAGTTCATCCAACTGGCTTTGCCCTTGATTCGACTGGCCATGGCCAAAACCAAGTCCACGGCATGGCTCTATGCCGTGGTGATGTCTCAGAAAAAAACTGCAATACTTGCGTGGTTGACGCCAGTAAAGAGCTCCTTCAACGGTGTGCTTATAGCAAAGGAGCAGTTATTTGGTACGATCACTGCCTCTTAAAGTACTCGGATGTGAGCTTCTTTGGACAGATTGATTATGCGAATAGGTTCTCTATGTCGAACGTCCAAGAAGTAGATCAGAATGGAACACTATTCAATGAGAAAGTTCAAGAGTTGTTAAGCGAGTTATCTAATGAAGCTTCTGATGTTAATCCAAAGCTATATGCTACCGGTAAGCTACAACTCGATACAATCACAACGTTGTATGGTATTGCTCAATGCACGAGGGACCTCTCTGGCGTTAGTTGTAAGAAGTGCCTTGATGGTGCAATAAGCGAACTGCCTAATTGTTGTGGTGCAAAACGAGGTGGTCGTGTTGTTGGTGGGAGTTGCAATGTTGGTTTTGAACTATATCCCATTGTTGGTACTTAGATCATAATTGTTATAAATATGAAGTCTTTTCTATTTATTTTTATAATGTAATCAACTTATTCATGTATTAATACCTTACAAATAAATGAAGTTCTGATATGGGGAATGTTTTTTTTTCTTTTAAATGTAATATGGGGAATGTTAAACAAATTAAAGAACCAGAAGAAAAAAAATAGATTACAAACTTGGACTATTATTTTATTGACTGCAAAGAAATAAGAACACTATATAATCATCAAAAAGTATACATTACTCAAAAAGATTACATCTTACCATACTTTATTCCAATCAACTGAGTTACAAGACATGTTTATAATGATCCAATCCTAAACAAACAAGAAAGCATTCTTATCCTCCCAACAAAATCCTAATGTACAAAATACTAAAAATACCCTAATATAGAATACATCAAATTGCTAAATTTTCAATATATATTAATTGAACATATTTACTCCTTGTCTCAGTCTCAGTTGTCTTATTATTTTGCCATCTTATTCTATGAAATATAAACTGTTTTACAAATTTCTTGAGCTGATTTATAGTAGCAACTCAAAATTTTATGTTTCTTGTATAATCATTTTCTGCAGATTAATGAAATTATAATTTTTTTTTTAACTGAATTCTTGAGCTGATCTATTGTAGCAACTCAAAATTTTATGTTTCTTGTATAATCATTTTCTACAGAATTATTGACGCATCATGCATGTAGAGTGTATATATGATGGTAATAGTGATTTTTTTTTTTGGGTAACATATGGTAATGTACAGTGAATTTGTTTGAACAAAACAACCAAACTGCGGTGGAGTGGGGGTGATTGTGAGAAACTGGGAAGGAGCTTTTGTTGCCGCATTCGCACGTCAATGCTTGGCGGCATCTTGTGTTCGGGATAGATTTGTCCCTTGCATAACTCCCCTTATCTTGCCTGTCAGGCAAGATTTGTTGCTTGGTCTTCTACAATATAAGTTTGTTATTAGTTTGAATGATGCCTTTGCAGGGCTTTTGTTAGGCCTTGAGGCTCACAATCAAAGTTAATATAAGTCTAAGCGTGCCACTGTTCTTTTTATTTAACAGATTGTTTTATTGGTTGTTTTAGTCCATTGTTTACTTGCACCACAAGTCCTCCTTGGTTTATCAAGATTGTTCATAGATGAGTTAAGTTTGTATTAAGTTCTTTTCTTGCCTTTAGATCAAGGACTTTTTATTTATAATACCATATGTTCATTTATGAAGGAAATCAAGATCATTCAAGTTATTTCCTTAGTTATCAATTTAGGCCGACAACAAGGAAACAAGAGTTATTAGTTGACAGGATTAATCATGGATAAAACTAATACAAAAGTAGTTAAAATGACATAGGATCTAATGAAAGATGTATAAACAACAAATCTACTTTATGTAAGTATAAATAAAGGAGATTCGGGCATGATTATAACCTCGGCAGGCAAGGTTTGTTTTCTAGCAAACACTTATCCTTGTATTTTATAGATATTGGAGTCTTGGAAAATGAAAATATAAACAAGGTTTACTTAAAGGGATTCGATACAACGATAAAGAAATGGTAGCAGAGTTTCTAAAAACTGAAAAAAGATAGCTTTCTATAGTGGACGTGCGACTAAAGAAAGGGAAAATGGGTGAATAAACTAAAGCTTTCTGGTTTTTGCTGTTGAATGCAGAATTGAGTGTTGCTTGATTCATTGGTTGAGAGAGAGTTTTTGCTTGTGTTCCTTGTCACTTTTATTAACTTTACTAGCTCGATTGTCCAAGTCTTCCATTTTGATGATGACTTCCAAAGCATGGTAAGTCATCACCTGCTTATAAATTACCTAGTCATGCTATGGAAAAGTACTTTTTTTTATTTTTTAGGATGAGCTGCCCTCTATTGTTTGTCACTTCTCACATAGGCATGATGCCTATTAGTTGCTAGAAATGGTCTTAAATTTATCTTGGGCTGCCACCTGTCCCAGCCCACTTCCTTTCTTATTTTTGTACGGGCCTTCAATTGCCTTGAACCCAATATTAAATATCCATCCAAACAAATTGTAGCTGGAGGTGGTGGTGAGCGCAGCAAGAAGCGCTGCAGTTTTTGCTCAGTGGATTGGGTTGAGTGGACAACGATGTGTGAAGGAAGGAGACATGGTGATCATCATAGCTGCGCTTAACGGGCACGGAGAGGATTGCTCTCCGCTTGGCCCCATAATTAATGATGCTCGGGAATTGATTAAAGGTTTTTTCTCATATACAGCTGATCATGTTAAAAGACAGGCTACCCAAGTTGCCCATAGACTTGTTCATGCGGGAATAGGTTGTGTTCAGGATTTGGTGTTGCCCATAAACTTGTTGGTGCGGGAATAGGATGTACTACTTGGAGATGCCTCCTATTAATTGTATCCGTTTAAATTTGGTTGTGAGGATAGTTAACTCTTAGTTTATTTGTACGGTACGTTTTTTTTTTTTTTTTTCCTTCGACCAGGTTAAAATTCCTAACAAGATTTTTATCGAGACTAATGTAAGCACATTGTCCTCACTTTGTACGTTTTCTTTCTTCCAAATGAACATCTTACTTTTCTCGTAAAAAACAAAAATAAATAGAATAACCAAACGTGCGCGTCATCTATTTCTAGAACAATATGAGCCACACCCTGAGGTCACGTTTGATTTGCACTACTAGATAACGGTATTGATTCTGGTAACCATACATCCCACTAATTCCACCATATACATCCCACCACTTTTAATTAATTCATTTTGACCATAATACTGCAAGCTTGCCTAACAATTCGCTCAAAATACACTCATATTCTGGAGCAAAAGGGAAAAAAATAATGAAATATATAATATAAGATGAATACATATAGTCTTACAATTGTCCTTCCCTTGTTCCATATTTTATTATAGTAAAACGAGAACTCTACTACGAAGCTATTCCTTTTATTAACTTTAAATATAAGTCATTGCAAGCTCATATTATATAACGAAACATTTGTGACATCATGTGATATTGTTACGGAAAATTGATTTCATTTCCTACGAAAAAAAAATCCAAGACAATTTATTTCATTTGCTAACATATTTGGACTTCACAATTTTAGTCTCCAAAGTATTTTTATGGAAAAATAAGTTCTTAAAATCATTAAGAACTACTAATATATCCTTATTATAAGTTTCAAAACTATTATATATATGCAATTTTTCATCACATTAAGTCACGTGACTTGTATGTGGTACATTCTAAAGGGTAGATTGAACATTTTCTATTTAGTTTAATGTATAACCTTTTTCTTATTCTAAAAACAAAAAGTATGACCTTTTTTTGTTGAAAAAAAATCTAGGTATGGTTTTAACTTTGAATGGTAAATTGATAGCTCGATTCGTTACATCCATGCAACATTAAGGGTTTATGGAGAGAAAAGGACAGTACTACTATCCTCGAAAGGGTGTCACGTTAAGTCAAGTGACTTAAAAGGAATGGGAATTATTTGATAGAGTAGCTTCAAATATTATAGTACTGAAATTAATTGGCACGTTTTAATTAGTTCAAAAGGACTACTTTTTCTGACAGAATATGTTAAGTTAAATTTCGATGTCTCTGTTTCTGCAGGCAGGGGTGCTGCGGCTTTTGTTCTGCGAAACCACGAGGGGACTCCTATTGTTGCTGGAGCTTTGTGTCTGGGTGAAACCACTATCAATGTGGCTGAGACTACTGCTCTAAAAGAAGGGCTGATGCTGGCCAAGCGAAAGGGTGTCTAGAGGTTATGGGTGGAAAGGGACTCGTTGCTTATCATTCAGCTCGCACGTGGAGTGTGGAAGCCCCATTGGCGTATCCACCAGATCATTAGTGACATTATGGGGACTGCAACTGAATTCGTTGAGATTTCCGGGCATCATATTTTTAAAGAAGCAAACTTTGTCGTTGAAGCTATTGCGCATGTCGGCCTTTCTATTGATAACCCTCACTTTTGGAACTTTTGTTGCCCCCTGAGGCTTTGACCCCCCTTAGATTTGACACTCGAGCAACTGGTTGTACCAAAGGTTTCAGTCTTTAATAAATGATTCGTTTATCCAAAAAAAAAAAAAAACTAGCTAGGGACTTAATTGAGACTCGAGTAATAATTCATTGACCAATTTAGCAGTTTACTCGTATTTATAATGGGTCATAAGGACCTACAAGGCTAGAAGATAGACAGATGGATCATTGAAATACATTATGACGTTGACTCTAATAAAGTGTGTCCAAATATGTGCCTCCCGATCTTTACCCATATATAATAATAATAATGTTTTTGAACACTATAGTATCTACACTAAAGGGGTGGGGAAGTGGGTTAAGCCTTACGATAAGCTTCCCATAATAATGTGGTTCAACTTCGTCTTTGGTGAGAATTAAACCTAAGACCTCTCATTTACAAGTGAAGAAGAATATCACTAAGCGAACAAAAATATCACTAGACCGTAGTACTAAGTGGCAATAATAATAATAAATTTTAAGTACTAATAGATTGTCCAAAAACCAAAAAAAAAAAAAAAAAGGACGGTACGAATAGGTGGTGCTATCTACACACCTATTTTTACCTCTCACCCACACTCTTCTCAATTTTAGTGTCACATCCCGACCCAGGCTCTACTCTACCGTAGCACGATATTGTTCGCTTTGGACCCCGACCACACCCTCACTGTTTTGTTTCTGGGAACTCACACGAGAACTTCCCAGTAGGTCACCCATCCTGGGATTGCTCTCGCGCGAACTTGCTTAACTTCGGAATTCCGATGAAACTCGAAGCTAGTGAGCTCCCAAAAGATCTCTTGCTATATGGAGGTGGGCATGTACATATAAGGCATAGAGGATCTTCTTCCCTTGGCGATGTGGGATCTAACATTCGGTCGTCGGATGAATAAATTCAAGAAGATCAATGGACAAAGATTAACAAGAGTGTGCTCTAGAGGTATAAAAAGGTGTGTGAATAGCACTATCCTAAAAATATTGAGGTAATTTGTCTAGAACTCCTCAGCGCATTAAGCATAATCATGAGCTTGATCCAGAGGAGCAAAACTTGACCTAATCTTCCACTGGAAAGTAGCACCAGACAGACAATTAACAATC